TATGTGATGTTTTAATGTATTTATAACAATAAAAAATTCAATATAGCAATAACAACTTTAACATAATTATAGTATATAAGTTAACAATTTTTATATAATTATATTCATTTCACATAATAATATTAGCATAATTTTAATGAAATCATATTCACATAATTATACTCACATAAGTTTAACATAATATTAAGTTATTAAGATAATTAAACAATAATAATTTCAATACAAATATACTAATTTTTAGAAATTATTATATAGAGTTTCTTTTATAAATAATGTAATTAAAACATAACTATATATACTTTTATTTTTGTAAATTATAATAAATAAATAAATATTATTACTCTGAAAAAGAAAAATAAATTTTATGTTATAAATGATTTCATTTTTGTAGACAAAGTTACGCTTGTACAAGCAAAAGAGATTGATATTAATGGAAACTTAGAAGTAAGAGAGAGATGTTAATGGAAACGTAGAAGCAAGAGAAAGAGAGATGTTATTGCGAACGTAGAGATGTAATGGAAAAGGTCTAACTTTGAAGTAGTGGTTACTTCTTTTTTTTTTAAAAAAAACACCTTTGAAGTAGAGATTCGAAAAAAAAAAAATAGCAAACATCTTACATCGGAGGATTGTGGAAGAAAATGATACCATAAAAGGTATGAACCCGAGGTAAGTTTGATGATTTGTGATGTAGAAGTAAAATAGGGCGGTGGGCCACACGAGTAATAGTGTTGACACATAAAATGTGCAAATAAGGGTGTACAATAAGGTAGGGCTGCCAAAACATTTTTTATTGAAAAAATTGGGTTCCCTTGGGAACCATCCGGTTCTTAAACCCACTCGAACCGGTTCTAAAGAGAGGATTAACGATTTGGACCCATTCGTGGTTCCTTTAGGAACCATCCGGTTATTGGACCCGAACCGGTTCTGAGCAGAGGATTAACGATTGGGACCCACTCGAACTGGTTCTAAGGAAAGGACTAAGGATTTTTCAAACTTTACTGGGGCATGCGTTTCTTGCTGCCAAATGTTCTATTGAAAAGATGTTGAAACAAGAACCATCCGGTTCTCCGACACACTCGAGCCGGTTCATGGAGTGGATTAACGATTTTTTAAACTTTACTACACAGGATGCTTTTCTTGAAAAATCAGGATCATGATGTCACACTAGTCGCCTTCCGGATCACTCTTTTGTTTTCCCTTTCTTAATTTTTATTTAATTGTTTGAAGAGATGTAGTGCCCTGTAAAGTGTAGTGGCTTTTTGGCCCACACCCGAACATATGCCTTTTACTTCTCTGTCTTTTCCTTTTTTCAGTTCTAGGATCCTTGTAAACGACTCCTCCCACGAAATCAAGTAGTGGACAGTGCCAAAGACTAGAGCCATTTTTTCCCATTAACCCCCTTACTTTCCCCCCTCTCACCTTTTGTTTTGACGTATATATCACCAGCCCCACCTTCCATTCTTCCAAAAACAATGGCCATCACCATGCCCACTGGTAGACCTCTCCTCCCCTTTCTCTTCTTCTTCATCTTGTATCACACTTGCTTTTCCTGCAAAGGGGTTTTCGCCGGAAAGTCGAATGTGACGGCCAAAATTCCTCGACCGATGATTGGATTCGGAAAAGAGAAGATTAGTCACCTTCACTTCTACTTCCATGACGTCCTCAGTGGTCGAAATCCATCTGCTATTCAGGTGGCAAGGGCAGACACTACTAGCAAATTCTTAACTCTGTTCGGAGCTGTTTATATGATTGATGATCCCCTCACTGAGGGTCCTGATCCTAAGTCGAAGCTATTCGGAAGAGCACAAGGGTTCTATGCATCAGCTTCGCAAACTGATCTGGGGCTCCTCATGGCCATGAACTTTGCGTTTGTTGAGGGGAAATACAAAGGGAGCACCTTAACTATTCTTGGGAGGAATCCGGTGCTGAATCCTGTGAGGGAGATGCCGATTATTGGAGGCAGTGGCTTGTTCAGGTTGGCTCGTGGCTATGTGCTCGCGAAGACACATTTGTTTGATCTGAAAACTGGAGATGCAGTGGTAGAGTACAATGTCTATGTTACACATTATTAACTTTTTCTTTTATTTTTTCTTTTTTCGCTTTTCTTTAAGAATTTCTCCTGTAACTTATGTATGCTCTGTGAGAGTGATAGCGTTGTTTATGGTCGATTATTTTTAGTTATATCTTCTGAGAGTAATGGAACAAAAAGAGACATAATTGTTGGAAATGAGTTTTAGCTGCTCATAAAAAAGGGGAAAAAACAGAGAATAGCGTTTAGCTGTTTTTTGGTAGCATTGCCATTTTAGTGCTTGACCAGTCTCTGCTTGAGACTCACCCATGTCGAATTGTCTCGGCCGCATAGCAACTCCGCTAATTAACCATCACAGTAGACTGAATCACTTAAGATTTCACCATGTTCACTCTGATGGCGACCACATTGAGTCCCAATCCGAGTCTATCTTTCAAATCTCTGGTTACCATGTTCACTCGGATTGAGACCACATGGTGTCTGATAGCGGTGCCACTTCCACCTGTTTTGAGGAGACGAACCAGGTTTCGACAGGCCAAATATCGAGCTAACATTTCTTCTTGCTTGAGACATTATCTTTCCTAATTTTCTCTCTCATTTCTCCATCAATGAGACGGATCAAGCCGATTTAAACCACTTCCGGGTCTTCAAAGAGGAGAATCATGAAATCGCTT